AATATATGTAGAAAAGAGAGATGGGAACTATGTCTCATCAGTGAGAAAGTGACTAAAGTTGAGATGCCAGATCAGAAAAGATTTCATTACAGACCCTTCTTTGAATTTTGTCAAGAACCTTGAGATATACAGCAGGAGCACCAGACCACATATGGCAGCAATATTCATGGGTGAATGTTAGATTTATAAATGTGCAAGATGGATTCTGATGAGAAAAATTTTCTGGCAAGACACAGTGAACCAACTTTTCTACCAGTAGATATAGCAACAGATTCAATATAGTCATTTTACTTCATGCAAGTGAAAAAGGTGAAAGACAGTGTAAAGTGATCCTCTCCTGCAGGTTAACATCAGCCATGCTGATGGCAGACAGAAAAGGTTCTGTTAGTTAGTTAGGTGGGTTTTCTGGCATATCAACCCTGTGACTCGATGTAATCAGTCAACACTTAGAGGCAACAGTCTGTTTCATGCTAGATGTAATCGTGGTCTGACGATTGCATCTAGCATGAAACAGACTGTCGCCTCTAAGTGTTGACTTCTATGCTCACTTTTATATTTACACATGCTCTATCTCTGATATTGAGCACTTTATCCCATAAATATAGCACATCTTAAGACTATATTTCTTCATATATATATATATGATTTGAAAATGAATAGCCTATCAGTAGCATTGTTTTTAAAATGAGCAGAGCTCATTTGTCTGCACATGGTTAAAGTGATTTCAAGTATTTGGTGTTTTGTATTTTTTAGTACAGCCCCACTTCCTTCAAAAATCAAAAAATGTTATTTGGATTGACCTGTTCAAAAAGGTCCTTCAGGTTGTTGACCTGGTAATGTTTTGAATGGATTTCATTGAAATCAATACATTTCATCAATATATGTTCCACTGTAAATGGTGCATGACAGCCAACATAGAATGGAGTATCTTCTCCTTTAAGCAGATATGAATGTGTTATGTATGTGTGGCCTATGTAGAGTTAAGCAAGAGTTACTTCTTCCTTTCTCACTTTTCTGTAACTCTGGTAGGTCTTGATTGTTAGTTGAATCTTTTTTAGTTTATTGTTAGTGCAGTTATCCCAGAGAGTTTGCCATCTGTTTGCTATAAATCTATTAATTATTGGTTGCAAATCAGTGTGTGGAATTTTGATATTTATTTTGATACTGTATAGTAATCTTTTGGCAGCTTTATCTACTTTTTTGTTTCTATGAATGCCAAATGGCTTGGTAACCAACAGAGGTTGTTGATTCTGTTACTAAGTTGAATAATTAGTGGATTTCTCATATTTTTTATTTTGCATCGCTTCAAGTGAGGATTTTGAGTCTGTACATATCATGGATTTGTTTGATCTGCAGTTTTTGATTATATTCAATGCCAGATCAATAGCTGTTAACTCAGTGGTGTAAATTGATGCAGTCCTTGGCAGTCTCTGTGTATTCTTTGCTGCCATAGGCGACGGGTAAAAAAGGTTCTGTGATGATTAAATGAAAACAATTTTGTTTTGAAGGCATTAAAATTTACAAGCCATTTCTTTCCCTAGTCAACCACTGATTGCAAACTCTTTTCAAGAGCAGTTGCCAGTTTTATTTTGTCAGGTCTTGTTACTAAGACAGAAAAAAATGGTTGTGTCATCTGCATAAATATCTAGTTGGTAACTGATTACATCGAGGAGGTCATTGATGAAGATCAGAAACAGCATAAGTCCAAAGATAGAGCCTTGGGGGATCCCTGCATTGGTATGAAATGATCTGTAACATGCTTGTTCAACTTGACCTTCATTACACAATTTGTTAAGAACAATTAGATTAAACCAAATATTTAAAATTTGTCAACATTCATAAAGAAAATTAGGCTGAAGCATCCAAGTTTCATATATAATATTTTCAGCTTGTTGCTTGAATATGAAAGAATAAATTCAAAAGTATTTAGCAAAAAAATAAAACAAAGCCTGTGTTATGGATTAACTACTTCCAGTCATATATAGCGAAAAAAACCATATTTTAAATCAATTAATTTATAATATTAATGCTCTGTAAATTTACATTGAGCACTATTTTGTAAAAATAAAAATATCTATAAGAACACCGGATTTTATATCTTACTATTCTTTCTTTTTATTTATATACATACTATTGCTCCTAATCAAAGTCAAGCACTCTAAATCTTTATTTTTAACAAGAAGAAAATATGGAGAAAATAAATTTCGGAATTTCTCTGAAGAACATTCCTAATACCAACAAAAAGGAATATTTTGTGTTATTAATGAATAAAACAGAGGAACTTATACGGAGGATGAGATGGAGAGCTTAATTCTTCCTTAATAAGAATGAACCAAAAAACAAAAACTACAAGGAAACTTACGGTTTTAACAGTAAAAATGCAGCACCATTTATTCATGGTTTGTCCGCTTTCGAAAAGGACCTACTGGAAATAATTAACAACATAAATTTCCATGACAAGAAAAGCTACTTCCAGAAACGCCTGGATAAGATTGTAAAGGATATAAATGCTACAGATAAAATTTTAGTAAAATCCGATAAAACTGGGAACTTTTATAAAGCGAAAAAAAACATATTTTAAATCAAATAATTTATATATATATATATATATATATATATATATATATATATATATATATATATATATATATATATATATATATATATATATATATATATATATATATATGTATGTATATATATATATATATATATATATATATATATATATATATGTATATATATATATATATATGTATGTATATATATATATATATATATATATATGTATATATATATATATATATATATATATATATATATATATATATATATATATATATATATATATATATATATATATATATATATATATATATATATATATATATATATATATATATATATATATATATATATATATATATATATATATATATATATATATATATATATATATATATGTATATATATATGTATGTATATATATATATGTATGTATATATATATATATGTTAAGAAAATGGACGAGGTCCGACAATTTATTTATTAAAGACATTTTTATTTATGTTTAACGTTGTTATTTTATAGATACAAGTATTTAAGCAAATGCTCTGTTTATGATAAACAGTATTAAATAACATTACCGGCCTGAATGTCAAGAAATTTTCATAGAAAATATTATGAAGAATATTTTTCCTATACGGAAGTCATAAACGTTTTAACCGTTCATAGAAATAGTAGACATTTAATACTGTTATTTATAACTGTTTATATCGAATGTAAATGACGTCATAGTTAAATTTGCTTAAACATTTTATTTATGTTTACTTTTTATTTATTTTAAATAACAACGTTAAAAACATAAATAAAATGTCTGTTTAATAAATAAATTGTCGGACCTCGTCCATTTCTTAACATATGACGTCATTTGTTTACATTCGATACGCCAGAGCAGTTATGAATGTACGAGATTCATGGAAGATTGTAGTTTATAACAGTAAATTGACCTTGTTCATATAAGGTTCATGGTGGCCGAGTGGTTAAGGCACGTCAGCGTATATGACGGTTCCGTATAGGATGCAGGTTCGAATCCTGTCTATGAACGAATATTTTCTATGAAAATTTCTCGGACATTCAGGCCGGTAAATGTTATTTAATACTGTTTATCATAAACAGAGCATTTGCTTAAATACTTGTATCTATAAAATAACAACGTTAAACATAAATAAAAATGTCTTTAATATATATATATATGTATGTATATATATATATGTATGTATATATATATATATATATATATATATATATGTATGTATATATATATATATATATATATATATATATGTATATATATATATATATATATGTATATATATATATATATATGTATATATATATATGTATGTATGTATATATATATATATGTATGTATATATATATATATATATATATATATATATATATATATATATATATATATATATATATATATATATGTATGTATATATATATATATATATATATATATATATGTATACTAGTACCTTAACTTTAGTCATTCTATTCTGGAATGTTCAGTATATTATAGTAGTTAACAAAAAATATCCTGGCTCATAAATTGACTTTTGAATGAACTAAATTTTCTAAGTGTTTGTTTTACCTAGTGTCTCAATATGTGTTAAATTTATTTTTTATAATGTTTCCTATTTTGAATTTATGATAAAAACATTGCTCTTGATAAGATTCTATCCTATTTTCCAACAATGCATTAGAATAATTTGCATTTGTCATTATTTTTTCTACAAATTTTCTTATTGTTGCAGCCATTGAAAAATGACCGGTTTTTGATAAACAAGTCTCGCTTTGATTCAATTGATAGTTACCTTTCTGAAATGGGCCGATGCTACAATGATTTGGATTTGGTATATGACAAAGAAATCTATGAACAATTGAGGGATGCAGGTATATTTATTCAACATATAATTGATGTAAACATTTATTGATCTTTGAAATATATTTTTTTATTATTTCAACTTGGTCAGAAACTACTACATTGCTATTTGCAAAATGATAAGTAGTAACCTGAAAATAAAACTTTTTAAAATAAACGAATTCATTTTTGAAGTAAAAGAAATTTTTCAAAATTTCAAACCTTTCTCTGATGATGGAATTTATGGTGAAAGCAGAAAATGTTTCACTTGATAAGATTCTATCCTGTTTTCCAACATAATGATGATTGATACTTTTTCATATTTCCCTATTGTTGCAGCCATTGAAAAATAGAGGAATTTTCATAAACAAGCCCCACTATGATTCAATTATTTATTTAATTTAATCAGAATGAGTAAGGAAATCCTTTTTTTTAATGAAACTACTGCATTGCTGTTCTCAAAGTGATAAGTAGTAATGGGAAAAATAAATTCTTTTAAAATAAATAAATTCATTTTTGGAATATAAAGAAATTTCTGTGTTTTTGTAATTTTGTACAAAGTAATTCTATGATTTGCTGTGTGGTTCACTTTTTTCTTTCCCCAGATGTTGATGATCTTCTTGCTCAACACATTGCCCATCTCTTCATTCGGGACCCACTCTATTTGCTCTCTGAAAAAATCCACCAAGATGACAGCAAAGAGACAGATCATTTTGAGGTGATTGAAGTTTATTATCATTGAATGTGTAAAATGTTTTCTTCAATTCCTCAAACAATACATTTCTTGACTTACACTGAGAAACAATGAATGTAAAAATCTGATGCATCAAATTTTCAATTTCTTCACTGTTAAAAACTTCTGAAAACGGTTTTCATAAAATCTGCCAAAACTGAAATAGACATAATTAAATATTTTAACAATTATTCAAGATTATCAGCGCTAAAATTATTGGTTTTATGCCATAAAATTCATCAAAACTTCATTTATTCTAGTATATTGTTCTCTTTCAGTTTTCATTCCTATTTAAAAAATTCCCTTTTAACTTTTAAGAAACATCGACATTAACTTTGAAACATAATCTGCCAGGTTTATGGCTGAAGGTCAATCACAAGAGCAGTGACAAGGGAATTGAAGGACCAACTGAAGTGAAATCTTTGCATTTTAAATGTTTCTAGGTAAAATGGATTAACATTTTATGTGATTGTATTTTGTAGAATATTCAATCCACCAATTGGCAAACTTTAAGGTTCAAGCCTCCACCTCCAAATTCCAATATTGGCTGGAGAGTAGAATTCCGACCAATGGAGGTAAGAAAACCATCTTTTTAATTCTTCATTTGCAAATGTAATTCCTCAGAAACTAATTAAAATAGTCCATATTTAGACAAAACCATGTTGACGATGAAATTTGAAATATTCTTTACTTGCAAAATTACTTTTTTTGAAAAAGAAAAATGACAATGACTATAAAATCTGGCAATGAAAAATTACAAGTAATGAAAATTAAGCAATATTATATCTCTTAATTAATGAAAGGTTTTATCATGAGACAAGGTTGTACCTATAACATATATTATAGATATTACCTTGTCATTTTCAATTGACAAGAAGTAAATATAAAACCAATAATCAATTGTTTATACAAGATTTCATCCTTTCAGTCTAATGATTGAGATGAAATTGGTTGATCCCTGATTTGATTTTTATTTTATGAAGGTTCAATTGTCTGACTTTGAAAATGCTGCTTATGTTGTGTTCATTGTGCTAGTAACAAGGGTCATTTTGACTTTCAAACTCAATTTCCTGATTCCAATCTCAAAGGTAAGTTATAAAAATACATTTATTGCCTTTAGATTTTGTAGGAGGTTTCAGTTATCAAGTAAAAGAACATTAACAAAGATTCTAATTTGACAGATTGTATAAAACCATTTCCAAATTAAATTATCTACTTAAACATACAGTGTTAGGTGTAGATCTACTTGCAAGCGATTGCTATTGATCCTCACTAGGGGCTTCACTCTTGTAACTTTGTGGTAGATGAGGTTAAACTGATAATCTCCAGTGATAAGCTTTAATCTAAAGGAATCAGATTTTACTTAAGTTCTAAAGTTTAATCCTTAATCATTTCCAAATTAGATATTAAAGAAAAGAAGAAATAAAATGAAACTATATAGATGATTCCTTATTTTGTTCTGTTTTTATTAATAGTGACAGAGTGAACTATTTAGATGTGGATAGAGGAAATTTGTTTTCAGTATTTTAAATATATCTTTCTATATTTAAGGTTGATGAAAATATGGTGACTGCCCAAAAAAAAGATGCTGTGACAGAAGAAAAGTTTTACTTCCGTAAAGATGTCATCACTGGTAAGCAAGATTCTTGTAGCTGATGTTTTTTCTTTTATTCACCTCAACAAAATTTGCATTGGAAAGCATTTGTTTTATAATAAATTTATAGTGGTTTAATGTTCAATGATATGATTTGGGAGATAGATTATCAACCTGAAGAACAAATGATCAAAGATTTAATCTCAGTTACTGAATTGACTAGTAAAATTTAACCAATGAAAAATAAAAAAAAAATTTATTGGGAGAATGGAACCCATTTATTTAACAGTCAATCTCACTCACTGAACCTGTCAGCATTATTGCTAATCTATGAAAAGACAAATTTTGATGGGGAGAGTGGAGCCCATCCTTTTAACAATCAGTCTCATACTGTAATTTATTGCTCAGATATATTTTTTTCCCAGGTCTTTGTGCACAACACTCTACAAATCTATTGTTCATTAATTATTATATTTTATGAAATGGATCATGAACAAATGAGAAAATTATTTCTATTTTTATTCAGAAGAATTTCATCAATAATGATTTTTTAGTTTCCTCTGAGGAGCTGCATTCGCTGGTTCCCAGACTTCATGAATTCAAGTACCCTATGAGGATGGCATCCCACTCTCACCCTTTCACTGTCAAAACTACCAAATATAGCTGTCTCTTCTATTCCAATAGCTTTATGTCTCGCACCTCTCGCCTGTGGAACTCCCTTCCCTATTCCAGTTTCCTTGAGAGCTATAATCTCCAACTATTCAAATGTAATGTCAATCGACATCTCCAGTTGCTTTGATCTGATCTTGCTCCAAATCTTCTGTAACCCCTTGCATCCTAGTGGCTTCCCGCCTTGCTTGGGGTGTGAAATGCTTAAAAAAAAATCTTTCATCCTAATAAATAATGTTTTTGTGGGTGTTTGTGTAGATATACTGTAGACATTCCTTTTATCATGTAGCAGTTGCTAAGTAATGATATTTCATCACAGCTAAAAATAGAAATTACCCTTCCTAGAAAAGACCAAGTCCATGATTTTCCAAGAAAACCTCCCACTTCTTTTACATCCAAAATTTGTGTGATACAAGAATTAGTGTTCCCTTATCCACTAGACAGACTAGTAGGACTTTTGATTCTTAATACAACAGAAATAAAAAAATTGAGCTGTCTTCAAATCTTATTACTGGTTAACCAGTTTAATCCTCAAAAGAATTCAGGACTGAGACATTCAAGTTAGTTAAAGAAAAAAAGAATACATAATCCAAACAAATAATCATAATACTAAAACATTTATGTACTGTGAAATAAATTAAACTCGTTAAATTCGGCCTTGTGCCACATCCAACCATGTGGGACGGTTGGCAGATATTCTAGCTGAAATCTTTTTTGGCTGTACTGTCAAACTCTCTGACTTCGGGCAGTGAGGAATCCAGACAAGGCTATGCCGAAGGGCAGAGTCTCATTCAGGGAGGTAGACAAACCCAATCCTGTTTATGTGGTGTCTACGGGGATTTTTTGGCCGAGCCTACAGGCTCGTGAACCCCACATTAAGTTCGGCCTTGTGACACATGTAACTGCGTAGGGAAGTTGCTAAATACTCTAGCTGAAATCTTTTTCAGCTGTGCTGGTCGAACTCTCTGCCTCCAAACAGAGAGGATCGCCAGACAAGGCTATTCCAAAGGGCAGAGTCTCGTCTTGGGAAACAGCTACCCGACCCTGTCTTATACGGGGTCTACAGGAATTTTTGGCTGAGCCGATGGGCTCGAATGCCCCATGTTAAACCCGCCCTTGTGCGACATCTGATCACATGGGGAGGTTAGTAAATATACTAGCTGGGATCTGTTACTCAGCTCTTAGCTGTTGTCAAACTCTCTGCCTTCGACCAGAGAGGAACCTGGATGAGGCTATGCCAAAGGGCAGTCTCTCGTCCGGGGAGATAGAGAGACCCGAACCCGTCTATGCTGGGTTTACACGGAATTTTTGCTCGAGCCTATGGGCTCGGATTGACCCACATTAAATTCGGCCTTGTGCTACATCCCACCCCATGGAGAGGTTGGTAAATATTTCTAGCTGGGATCTGTTGAGTATGACAGACTTATGCGAGAACTACCGACCTTCCAGTAGTAGCACTCACTACTGGATTGACTTGCAACGACCTTTATTCCTATTGTATTGGTTTTTACAATAAACCTTTACTTATTTATCCACCTTGTTTTCAAGTATATATATATATTCCTATTAGCACGGAATATAATAGTAACATAAACTACCAATTGCATCAATCATATTTGGTCAAAGTGCAAAGGTCATATTGTATAATGACTATGTATAAGAAATCCAGCTTCATAAGTCACTTCATTTGTAATTAATTGGCTTCAACTTTTATAAAAATATTTTTTTTAATTGAAGAGGGTAAAAACTTGTATATTTGTTAGATTTGTTAGATTTGTTTTATCTTATTTAATGTGATTATTTTTGCAGCCAATTCTCCTCCTGAAGCTGCTGAATGTGTTGGTTGCTGTGAAGTGATCAAACAACGGATTGATGAAGAATACACTTTGATGTCTATTAATGAAATCATTAATGGAAAAGTAAGTCATAATATCCGATTTTGCCTAGACACTTAATCTCAGTTAATTTTTTTCTAGAGAAGCAATCAAAGGAAATTAATGGTGTGCATATGTGTGGCAAAAGTAATCTTTTGGTTAAAAATTGAATTTGTTTGTGAAGAAAAACAATGTCTTCCTCTGTTTAATATTAGAAACCCTTCAACTATTTGCCTATATTTTATAAATTTAACATATATTTTACATTTTAAATGAAAAATATTCTTCCTTTTTTAATTGGGTATCTTTATATTTTGAATTTGAACTGAAAATAAATTTTGAATTACCATAATAGCAATTTACTATTTTACATTAAAATTTGATTTGCAATATTTAGTGATTATTATTAAAAAAAAATAGTCTTTTTTTTTATTGTAGTCACTTCTTTTATTGATAAAGTTTCCAGCCTTTTTTAAAACAGAACAATTTTTTAACAGTACATTCAGTTTCTAGTTTTGAAAGTAAGTGGACACTGGGAATTTTTCACACTCCTTATGGATTCATCCACTTTCAATATTTTTCATTTCTACTTGCTTATTGATCATTACTTTCCTTTCTTTTACAACACTTACAATTTCACTCATACAAGTGGCAAATGTTCTATGTTAAAAATTTTCATTAAGACTTCATCATTGTCATGGGCCATATGTTAATATCTTTAAACTGCATGTAGCAAAACCTTTAAGAAGTCTAATTTGAATAGTATAAAAATTATTTTTAATAAAAACGATATTAAAATTGTATCAGAAAAATAATTAAAATATTGGAACTGTGTAAAAATTAATATAGAAACTATTATAATAAAAAAGTTAAAATTGAATTGTATCACGCTTTCTCTTTTAAAAAAAATAACACCTAAATATAACCAAACGGTTTATGTAAAAAAAACATGAAACTTGATGTGTAAAAAAGAATATAGACTCAAAACTGATGTTATAAAATACTTGGCAAAATGAGATAGTTTAAAACTTTCCATGGCAAAATTTAAAATGATGAGCCTGGCTTTAATGTTTTCACAAACCAGCCAAAATTGAACTGAAAACTGGCGCAGTTTGATTAGATGGTAATTCTCAATTTTTTTAATAATGGGAATAAAATGCATAGGTCCTTTAAAGAATTGTTTTTTGAGACAGTTTTGATCCACTTGTTCGCTATATAAGAGGGAAAAATTTTGCTGTCAGAAAAGGATAGAAGAGAAAGAGATAGACCATACTCAGGCTGCTGATGATGATGTCAAGAAGGGATAAGGCCATTTGAGTGAAAGGCTGTCATCAGCTGCTGTTGAAAAAAGAAATATACTATGTGGTGACCTGAGATGATAAAGGTCTACTACCATTGTCACTGTTGATAAAGAAGAAGACAGAGAAGAATCTTCTAAATTCTCATAATATGAATTACTTTCATCAACTCATGAGAGTTTATCACAAACTTGAGAACAGCTGTTCTCAAGTTTGAATATTCATCAAAAGGACTCCAGAAAAGCAAGTTTGACAAGGTAGGTGTTGGGGCGCACCCACCTTCTAACTAGTAATGTACTGGTCCCTCTTATATAAGTCAGCTCTGGGGAGAGAGTCAGCGTTAGCAGTCCAGATAAGCTTACCCGGTACATACCGTTGGACTATAGACTTTGGATATTGTTTCGTACTAACCAACCTTCGTTCTACTAATCACTCTATTGCTAATTGCTTTTATGAATATACCAGTATTTTCCTCTACAACTGTGTTTGTCTTGATTCATACACCGACACGCGGGAAACTCACAACATCTCAACAGTAGGTCAACTTGTTCTCACCCACCTTCAAATTTCAACTTCCAACTTCTGAACCTTTGACATTTTGAATTGTGAACTCTCTGAAGTAGGTAAATTTCTTTTGCTGCTAAAGTTCATGTATATGAACTGTTGCTCTAAAAGAAAGTTGTTAAAATCCTATTGTTGTTAAGGAAAAAATCACTTCAAAGTTGCCGTAATTGTATCCAAGCACCACTGAAATGATGTCAGTCCATAAAGTGTCAAGCTCCCTGCTACACTACCACACTGATTAACTGCCTTGCACAGAGCAGTGCATGGTTTACTAATCTTGTTACTCTTTTTCTATTACCTCCTCCCTCCTAATATACTAGAATGTCAGTTAAACATCACATAGTCAAAAGTACCACAGCCGCTGATTGACTCTCCAAATTAGTTATCTGAATATTCATTCCTTGAAATAACGTAAATGGAAATCAGAACCATTTAATAGGAGTAGATAGGTTTTCCTATCACCCGATCCTTACTCCTTCTCTTTCTCTTGAACAATTGTAGAGGGGCTCATACCTTGCTTCCTGTTTAGGAAAGGGTTTCTAGGTTCCTTTCATTTTCTCAGGCCTTAACAGTGGTGCTGTCATGAATTTTTGTGATATGTGATGATAGTAGCAACGTCTCTTCATACTGAGGGTACCAGGTTGGCAGTTTTCTCGTTGCTGGTTGGTAGTTAGCCCGATCTCTTGTGTAGAATCATGAAAAGGTACTCTGATCAACAGTTGTATAATATCAGGGTTCTTGCAGTACCATGTTGTGCATGGAAGAGTGTCCCTGCAAGCATCACCGAAGCCACACTATGTTGCAGTTTGTGCCAGTTCCCTTCCTGCACATGTTACATTAGACGACCAACTGCTACTACTGCCTGGGGCCATTCCTTACCAAAACAACACACAATGACTGTAAGATAGCAAAGATATAAGTTTAAACCAGCTCAGCAAAAATCACCTAAACCCCTCAACCTTTCTTTCACCAACATTCATGGTATTCATACAGTGTAGAATCATTCTGCAGTGTAGAATCATTCCTCTTCGAAAAGTCTCTGGACATCCTAGCTCTAAAACTAATCTTAACTCTTCAGTCCCTCCTTTGATATCTGAATTCCTGGCTATCTTTTTCTCCTTAAAAAAGACTCTAATATCCATATGCATGGCCTGGGAGTTTATGTCCATGAACATCTCCTGCTGGCTGGGGAACTCTCTCTTAAATCTCCATACCACTCTTACATGTATCTCCGTCTGTCTCTACTTGACTCAGTCAACTATCTCTTATTTCTCTACCATTCCCCTTCCTCTCATGACTCAAGTGCTAGACAGTATTTCTGATAATATAGACAAAGCCATCTCCCTATACCCATCTGCAAATATATTTGTGTATTGATGAATTTAATACCAACCATACCAGGTGGCTTAAACACTCTGTCACTGACCCCGCTGCTATCCAGACTCTTAACTTCTCAATCGCTCAATCTCTCATGCTGGGAAATGTTGGATTTCTCCATTCATTTCCCCAGTAACCCTGATGGACATGCTTCTCTTCTAGATTTCATTTTTATCTCTATCCCAGACTCATAACATACTTTGTAGCTCTGCCCTCTTGGCAACTCTGATCATACAGTAGTGTCTGTAAACACCTCTTTCTGCTCCCCTACCTACCTCCTACCAACAGAATATCTTTCTGTTATCAACATGTGAATTGGAACTCATTCCTTGACTTGGAATGCAGTTTTTACTTATCCTGTTCATAAATGCACATCTGAGGTCTCCTCCTGGGTGAAAGATGGCATCAATGCTTTGATTCTAGCAAGGAAATCCAAAGTTAAACTGCATTCATCTCTTTGATTCTCACCTGCATGCACGGCCACTATGGCCTGCAGGAATCACTTTTTTCAACTGTACCAGAGCGAGACATCTGATTACAACAGACGTCACTTTGTCTCTGCTCATAACGAGTGCAAGTATGTCCTCAAAGAAGCGAAGTTACTGTTTGATGATAAAATGAAACAATGTATAGCATCCTGCACGTTTGGTTCTAGAGATTATTGGCAGTTCTGCAAGAGTGTGCTGAACAACTGCAAATCCTCAATCCTTTCTCTATTCAATCATTTTCAAATCCTGGCATCTACAGCGGATAAGGTTGAATGCTTTGCTCAGAAATTCTGTTTTAACTCAACACTCAACTCAATTGGATTAGCCACACCTGATTTCCCTCCTAGATCTGAGGCTCTACTGAGTGATATGTGCATAACCCCATCACAGGTCTCAGATATTATTTCTAAATTAGACTCCCATAAGACAAGTGGCAGTGATGGGATCCCAGCCAAAAGATATATGCTCCTAAGCTGGCTCCAGTTCTCTCCAAACTCTACAACTATTGCCTTGATGTTTCCAGCTTGTTGGAAGTCCTCCTCTGTAGTTTCTGTTTTTAAGAACTCTGGAGATCCTTCTGACCCCTTTATCTATCACCCTATTAGTCTCCTACTGCTTTTCAGCAAAGTATTTGAGGCTTTAATCAATGCTGAGGTGGTTAAGGATCTTACCTCTCACGGCCTACTATCTGACAAACAATATGGTTTCCGTTTTGCCAGATCTATCACTGATGTGCTAATGACCATCACTGAATATGTATGTCTAGCTCTAGATAATAATGGTGAAGCTTGAGCTGAGGCTCTAGATATTTTGAAGATTGTTTGACAGAGTTTGACATGCTGTTCTTCTATGTAATCTCCAGAGTTATTGTATTACTGTACATGTGTTTGATTTAATTCAATCATCCCTATCAAATTGTGAAATGAAGGTCATTTTGAATGGGCTGGCTTCCAGATTCTTTCACATAAATGCAGATGTCCCTCAAGGCTCTATCCTGGATCCTACTCTGTTTTTGATCTTCATCAATGATGTCATAATTTCCCAAGTAGGCATTTATGCTGATGATACTACCATTTACTCCTGTCTCAATAGCAAATCCGTCAGAGTTTACAAAGTTAACCTGGCCACAGCTCTTGAAAAGGACCTCCAATCAGTGGTCAACCGAGGCAGGAAATGGCTTGTAAATTTTAATGCCTCAAAAAAAAAAAACTGCACTCATTTGACCACCATAGAGAAACTTTCCTGTCTACCTTCAGCATGGCTGATACTAGATTCATGGAAAGCAACACATTGCACTTTCTTGGCCTCACGTTTTCAACAGACTTGAAGTGGAACGACTACATCAAATCAATAGCTACATCTACTGCAAGGAATGTTGGGTGACTATGTTGTGCCAAAAGTTTTTTTCTCGCCAGAGTCCATCTTGCACATCTACAAATCTATCATTCGTCCGTGCATTGAATACTATTGCTATAACTGGTCAGGTGCTCCTGCTAACCATCTCAAGGTTCTTGATAAGATCCAAAAAAGGATCTGCAATGTAACTGATCCTGACATGGCTTCTCAACTTCAGTCACTTTCTCACCAATGTGACATGGCTTCCCTCTATCTTTTCTACAAATATTTTCATGGCAACTGCTCTGATGAACTTTTTTCTCTGGTGCCCAAATTATGTGAGTTTAAGTGTACTACTAGATTAGCATCTAGGTCCCACCCTTTTACTGTTGAATTAGGTAAATGTAAGTGTCACTTCTTCTCCAACAATTTCTTTTCTTTCACTTCCCACCTGAGAAACTCCCTTCTGTTTCCTTACTTTCCTGATTACAATCATCAAAAATCTAAATGCCCCCCCGACTATACCCAGTACTTTCCTCTCATCTCTCTCTGTAACCACCCACATACAAGTGACATTCCCAACTAGCTTGGGGTGAAATGATTAAAAAAAAGGAAAATATTTGCTTTACACAAAGTGTAATTGTGTAAGAAAAAACTGATTTGTATTTGAATGAACTATTAACCTGTCTTGATAATTTGAGATGCACAAAGGAAATTTTATGCAAGTCCTATATTGCAATTTATACAATTTGTATATTATAAAGACTGTTTTTGTCATTGTATGTGGATGTTTGTTTCTCTGAAGTAAGAGTCTAATGCTTTTTTCATTTGTGCCATTCAAAATACTTGGCATAAGAGATTTGATGTCTTCTCTTCTCCTTTTCTCCCCCAAAATCCATTTAATAAAGATTGAAGTTAATGAAAGTATAAAAAGCAAATGAGAGTAAGCAGTCTACATACCAGAAGTAATTGTTTTATTTTCAGGATGATTTTCCTGGTTTAATTCCACTTGTGAAAAAATATTTGGAATCCAGTGAATGTGATGTTGATACAAGATGTACTGTACTGCAATATTTACAACTCATCTCAGACAGAGCTTCAGGTAATTTATACAAATACTACCTTTGCATTTCTTTAAAGATTAACCTTCTGTTGACTTGACTTAGCTTATGTCCTGGTTTGATTATGGCTGTCCCATTTTAAGAGGTTTGTCAAGGTTATGTCATTTTTTTCAATTTTTTTTTATTTTATTAATGTCCTAAACCTATAGTTTTATAATACGAAAACAAGTAATTAATTAATTTTATATTTATTCCCTTTTTATCTCTTTTATCTCTTTGCAGGTAAATTAATGACAATGGCACAATGGATTCGTAAATTTGTGTTGACCCATGCAGACTATAAGCAGGATTCTGTGGTCAATGAAAACATCACATATGACTTGTTGGTTGAATGTGAGAAAATTGCAAGTGGAGAGAAACCATGCCCTGAACTGTTCTTTAAGTATTCCACACACACAAGGGATAACATTCCATCAGCAGTCTCTAAGGCTGAGGCGAATTTGAATGGACACATCAGTGATTGTTCTTAAAATAGAAACTTTTGTTTTGATTTAAAAAGAAAGAAACGTGATTCTTCTCCTTCTGTATTTCTTCTTTTTCTCTCTTTTCTTTCTTTTCCATTTTCCTTTTGCATTTCTTCTTCATTCCTTATTTTTCTTTTCTTCTTTTTTACTCTCTGTTGTATTTTTTGCCCTCTTCTTTCTTTTCTTTTATTTCATCTATTTATTTTCTACTCTTTCCTCTAAATCCCATCTTTATTTTGTTTATCTCTTACAATTTGGAAATCTCCTCTTCAATCATGAAAAAGAATCAGCAATTGCTATATCTAGAGGATCTACCTTACACTAAACTGAAAGATGGACCGCCATGTCTGTAATATTTCAAAACATTTGATCCTTTTTACTTGTTTCTCATTTTGTAGACAAAAAGTGTAACTACCTTAAATTGACTTAAAGTCATTTAACTAGAGGAAGAAGAGGAAGGGATTATGTTATGCACAAAAAAAAATGGTTTTCTTAAATCTTAAATAAAAGGAAGGATATGAAATTTGTGGTATATAAAAGGAAGTTATCTGCTCTTGAAAAGGAAAAGAGGAGAAACACAAGAAGGTTGCACCTCAGAAGACAATTTGCATTGAATAAAGCTTCACCACATGCTTAAACTTTCGTCTGATTTTCTTTACAAATACTAATATTATATAAGCGAGACATAGTCGATCATGACTCTTTACTATTTCTTTTTTGTAACAATATCTATCTTGCTAGATATGAACATATATGAGTGTGGTGGAAGGCAATCATAGTCAAACTATTTGACTATAAAAGAAATGGTTGAACCTCACTTATGTATCACATTGCAATGAATAAAGCATCACTACAAGCTTAAATGTTTGTATTTTTCTTTACATTTTCTGATGCATTTTTTAAACTTATTTATGGAAATTTTTATCTTCACTTTTTCCATTTTAAAGAGAAGCAGTAAACTTCTAACAAATGATTTAAGGTCTTAGAGTCCATTTGACGACCCGTTTGTCTTGGTCAGAGTTTGAAGCAGAAAAAGAGTGAGCTGGAAGGTTCATCTTTTGGCGCTAATTCTATTTGGCTGAATCCTACAGTGCCTTGTCCAATCAAAATGGGTGGTACGAATCTTCTCGGAAGCTGTTGAACAAGAAAGGAAATAACTCGTTTGAACCAAAAAAATTTTATATTCTCCCAATATGAAAAAAACATGCAATAAATATGTTCATTGTATGTTGTCCTTTAACATAGTAATTTTGAACTTTATTGACAATAAATTGATAACAATTGCTTCATCTATGCTTGAAATTTGATACATATTTAAGGCATGTACAACCATTTAGTTAAATACACATTAAAATGTACAATACTAAACTGTGCAGAAATGACAATAGATTAAACACTTTCTTCATAAGTGCACATTAAAATGTACAAAATGATACTTTATAAAACTTACATTTGTTTGTTTAACAGGAACATTTACATGCAGACTAACCACAATGTCCCTAGCATTCAACTATGAAAACCCTAATGTCGGTTTTTACATAACTAACCAACAATGTACATTGACAATTATCTCCCCTGATAGTCAGCGATCAGTCAAGCTGCTTTTCAACTCGTATAATCTCGGTGACTCCAAAGATTATGTTAAGGTAAATTCAACTTCTTTATTTCTTGATTGTAAACCCCAAGAAGGCTGTCTTCTTTTATATGCTGTATCCTTTCAGGACGTAGGCGATCATGGCTCTTGACCTCCTCCTGTCTCTTGTAGCTCTGTAGTTTTGTCTTTTTGTTATTTCTCCCAGACACTGTTCTGTTATCCGCTTGCCTAAGCCTGTTAAGTATGTCAGGCATTGCTTTCCTTTGTCCCTTTTTCCCCTCTGTCCGCCCTGTAACTATCAGATTTTTGAAGCCCTCCTTTCTCATTACCTGTCCCAGAATTTCAATTGCCTCTTCCTGATGTTAAGTATAAGTTTCCTATTTGTTTGCATCTTCTACAAAACATCATCGTTACTCACATGTTTGGTCTATGGTATTCTTATCATCCTTCTGTAGAACCACACTTCTGTTGCCTCGAGTCTCTTCTTCATCCTTGAGGAGACCATCCAACATTCGCTACCGTAAGGGAGGACAGATATCATGTAGCAATTCAGTACTCTTTTCTTTGTTACCAATGAAACCCTTCTCTCTTGTAATATTGCCTAGCTTTTGGAATGCGGCTTTAGCCATCCCAATGCGTCTTCGGATCTCAGCGTCGCACTTTCTCTCCTTTATCAAAACAATTTCCAGATGTTTAAATTTCCGCACCTGCTTGATTATAGTGTCCCCAACCTGTAATTTGCATTTGGGGTGCATCCTTTTACTGATGACCATGCATTCTGTCTTGTAGGTTATACTTAATCCCTTCCTATCACTTTTCTTTGGTATCTTCTGTAGAAGGTTAGGTTTGCCAAATAGAAATACAGGACAGTGGATGGCTTCTGTCATCGAATTCATGCTTTTGAGAAGAGTCATTATTCTTGAGATTTTCAGATAACTGGACTCATTTTTGAAAGCAACAAATTATCACAAAAAATAGATTGTCAAAAGCTTCAGTCAGTTATGTGCTATGCATGCATCTTTCGATACATGACTGGCGAGGCAGATTTTTTCCCCACAATAGGTTACCATTTCTTTCTGCAGTAGATCAGTTGCCATCCAAGGATATAGAACCATAGCTGGGAGAGAAGAGGATTCATACCTTTCCCAAGGGTATTAGCACATAAGTGAATGGGCTGGATCTCAAAGTCGGCTCTCCGATTCCCCAATCTGACCCGCTATCCATTACTCCACTGTAGCTCTGTTAAAAGCTTAGTGTTTTTAAAACGATTTCAGCTTACTAGTTTTTATTTTATTCATTTACTTTTTAACTAGCCTCATATTCTTTTCCCTCATTTGTATTTAAAAAGCCATGCGTTCGAAATAAATCGAAAAATTACCTTCCAAAATTTAATATAATGATTTTTTTTTCTCGGTAAGAATGCAGAATGAAACTTTAATCGTCCGTTGGAAATATAGAGAAGTCAGTCAACATTCAATAGTTTTGAGTCAATACTAATAGCGATTTTTTAGAGGAATTAAAAAAAATGAACATTTTGTTGAGTTTTTCGATGGAGTAAGTAGAATTTTATGAGGGGATAAAACTCAATCCGTCTCAATAAATCCTCCTTGATCTTCATCTGTCTTACAATTAAATTTAGCTAGTCACAATCACAGATCCAAACATGCCACAATGCATAATCCTTACACCAAAACAACATATTCTTACTTACCATTCTCACTACAGCCACCGTAATAATAATTATTAATTAGGTACCTCCACTAATTCGCGATACCTAATAATCGAATTTACTATTTTCAGTAAGCAAAATACTCTGATGTATTTTAAACAGAAATTATATTAATTGGAATCGATTTTCATCTTTCTGAAATAGCAGACTAGTAATCTTTCATTGCATTGTAATTCTCTGTATTTAAAAAAATCCCAAAATAAAGGGGAGACTTAAAAAAGAAAATCAAGGCTAGCAACACCCCACGCCCGTTTACGCGAACCAGGCTCGTTGCAGTCACTCAATCTGTTGATACCAAACACTTTCTCTCAAATATGATCTTGAACCTAAGCTGATGCTAAAAGAATCTGACGAAATCCTGATGAGAATGGCGTTCACATCGGAAGATTTCCTCCTTCCGTGTCGTCCAAATCACTATTCGAGCCGTGGCTAGCAGCGACAGAAATACCATCCGTTTCAACCCAGAATACATTGTCACACGCGTATGCGCGATCAATGAGCACGAGCTTTTCGGGAGTGATACAAGCCGTCAACTCGCCGAAAAAGTCGCATAGGAGGCGAGCCCAGGGACAATGGTAGAAGGCGTACGCAGCCGTTTCCTCTAAACCAAGGTCACACCGTTCGCAGTCTAGCAAATCCGACACTACCCATATGAAGGCTTTGTCATTGAGAGATAGCCTATTCCGAATCAATCGCCAGGTAAGTGAAAACTCCGGGGTTGCTGAGGTAAAACGCCGCTGGCGCCCAAGACCAAAACGAACGAAACTCGTTCGCCGATAAGCCGAGACGGGCGCGTTATGGATCCTTGGAATAGAAATAAAAAATCTATTAAAAATGAAATTTAATAATCATAAAAGCATGGTGATTTTTATTGGAAAAAAACTACTAATCTTACGATTTAAGTACACCAAAAAAAATACGAAATTTTATTAAAAAAAATGTATTTATATTATAACATCAATGACCCGAGTGACTTCTACATGCCGTGTCCCTTTAGGACATTGGTGATCATGGCTCTCCATAATCTCCTGCCTCTTGTAGCTCTTAATAACTTTTGTCTTTTTGCCATCTCTCCTATATCCTGTTCTGCAGTCCATTCACTCGAGCTCACCAGGTAGGTTGTACATTGCTTCCCTCACTCACCTTCAATTTGTCCTGTGAAATATCAAATTTTTCAAGCCCTTCCTAATTATGTGTCCCAGAAACCTCAACTGTCTCTTCCTGATGTTAAGTATAAGTTTCCTTTTCGTTGCCATTGTCTCTAGAACTTTGTCATTGCTCACATGTTTGGCTCATGGTATTCTAAGCATCCTTCTGTAAAACCTCATTTCTGTTGCTTCTAGTATCTTTATCTGTGAGGAGATTGATCAGCATTTACTGTCATGTAGGAGGACTGATATTACATAACCGTTCAATAATATTTTCTGTGTTTCTAACAATATTTTTTCTGTTTCTTAATATTTTACTCGGCTTTTAGAAGGCATATTTTTTTATCCTAATGTACTTTTGGATTTCCATGCCGCACTTTCTGTCCTCTTTTAATACACTTCCCAAATATCTAACTTCTTGTGCCTGTTTGATTTCGGCATCTCCAATCTGTAGTTTGTATGTTGATCTGTCCCTTTTGTTAACACCGATGCAATTGTTGTTTAGTCCTTCTTTCTTTCCTTCACTACCTTCTGTAGGAGTTCTTGTATTTTCCTTTTCGTGGCTGTCATCAACACTGTTATCTGCATATCTTATGTTGTAAAAATTGTGGCCACTAATAAATAATCCCAGTAGGACTTCTAATTCTTTCAGAATTGTTTCACTTTATAGTTTGAAAAGTTCCGGTGAGAAGATGTATCCTTGTCTTACACTCCTTTTTGTTTTTATATATTTACTGAACTCGTTTGCTAC